GAGGAACGGGGTGCAGTGTATTGATTTGGCGTCTCTCCAGTCTCACAGATCGCTGATAGAATCCAACAATGCATGCTAAACTAACAATGAACAACATGGCTGCGAAAATTGCGCACTGAATCCGTGTTAAGATTTTGAGGATGTAAAGGTGTCGCTTGCTTTTTGACACTTTATTGGCTAAAAAGGACCAAACAGACCAACAATTTAGCGTAAAACGATGGATAAGCACTGTGGCTAACTTGTTCCTCCGTCCTCTAACATAAATCTCATGTGGGTTGAGACTCCCTATCCCGAAGGGCTAGTCAGAGATCTCCGTGGGATAAAATTCCGATCACTAATTTGGTTGGCTTGTAAGTGCTTTTCTTGCGTCTCTAATTACGTTATTACATACAACGCGAAGGACACTACTCGAAAAGAAAGCCATGGAGGGCAATGGAAAGGAGAGCGGATTTATGACATGTTGGCTGTTTAATAAACTCTCGAGTTTTGTAGCGATGCGCTTAAATAGTCCGCAGTTGCGACAAGTAGGCGATGTTGTCTTTCTTCACTACACTTATAAACACTTTCAGACCCTTCAGAAACACTTGAATTTTATTATGAATTTCAGTAGTATGGACCAACCATGCATATCATCGATCGTAAAGAGGGTGTAGTCTGCGTGGCCTGTCCACCTTTTGGAACTGCCTGTGTGTACACACGCACACAAATATAGGCGCATCCCAACTCTGGGCCTTGGGAGTTCTTTGTGCGCTGCCCACAACTCCAAATGGGAGGCTCACATTCTAACTGTGCTGTTTTAATTTCTGTTTTAAATGTCACTTAGAGCGCCTAAGAGTGTCTAAGCTTGTACGTTAACAGGCAAAAATTCCGACAAAAATAAAGTGGGAATGAGTTAAGAAAAGGCAGGGGAAGGGAAATGCCACAAAGAGTGATATGGATTCGCTTTCTTCGCTCCTCCCTTATATTTATTTATTGTGCAAAAATTATTTTGTCATTTGAACAAAAACCTTGGAACAGGTGCATGAGCATTGTGCAATCTTCCGCGTAGGCATGCGTGGGGTAGGCATTATCAGTCGAGAATATGGAAAAATAAATTAACCCTCAGAAGCACTAAATTTGAATTTTAAGGAAGTTGAAATTTCGTAGAAGAAGTGAGGCATTGCTACAATTGTCAATTCACCTTTCGAATTTTGTGACAGATATACATTGGATTTCCTTTGTTGTTCCTCTGCTTGGAGATCAAGACCTCGACTCCCATCACTTACGTCCTTTTCGCACTCCAATATTATGCTTTCAGTCCTCTTTAGTCAAGTCTCAGACGCTGTGGTGTCTTGTTGCATCCCATCATAGCACTTTTAACTACTGATCTGGAAAACGATGTTGTTTTGAGAGATTGATCGAGCTGGGCTTTGAGTACACACTGATCGCTTTGATTGATTAGTCCTTCAAGTTACTGCTGTCAAAACCTTGTTCTGCACGT